ATTATTCCCAAAAAATTATACGTGTTTTGGAAATGTTGAGTCAAATTAGTCAAGAATCAATTAATTTTATGGAAGAAAACCTTTCAAACAGCCATAGTCCCTAAACTGCACACGTGTCAGGCTGTGATTGGCTCATGTATTTAAGGATTCCTACAACGCGAAATTCGTATAACATGAAACATGTCTACCGCATTATAGGGGGTCTACTGTATATCTCATTTTTTTAGACTACCTGTGATGGGTCTAAAAAAAAACTGTATGTCAGTGATTAAATGTGATCAATACTCATTTATTAATAAGTATGATGAAACTACTTTTAGAAGTCTTGTCTTAAGAAAGCAAAGGTTGTAAAGTACTATATTATTTTTCCGCCCTCTACAACGATTATCGACACGACTGTGTGCCAGAAATAGCCGTTACCTAACAGGTACTTTACACGGATTCGCGTTAATGTGCCAGGCCTGGACTTTTAGCGTGCACCGAATTAAATAATAACAAAGTTTGTCAATAACAAATCAAATATTTAATTAATTTCTAGTAATAAACTATTTACAAAGTTTAATAAAAAATCAACAACAATTTATTCAATGAAAATCAATAAGAATCAACCCGACAAAACTCAAATCAATCTAGTTTCTAACTTAAATCTATTCCCCTTTGGAATTCGACAAAATTCAAAGACTTAACTTATATACAATAATTCTTATGAATTAAAGATCCTAATCGTCACCTCAATATACTAGGAACCTATTTCCTCAATTCTCAAGACTTTCTCTATTCATCGATCCACAAATCGAATAACTTCAAAATCGCCTTGGAACTATTTGATCCTATCGGACACCTCTCTGCTACAAAGCTCACCAATCTCGTTGCTATCTGGAGTTCACCTCATCCGTCTTCACTTGACATTCGGTTTTTATACTGTGAGGTGACGTCACAATTCTGAATGAGATCACTCCCCTCATTTACATACTTATTCGCTAACAATAAACTTTTCTATTTGTCTGGCAGCCTATTTACAGACAATACTCGCTAACCTTTTACATTATTCTTTTTTGGCAATTTTCGGGATGTTTTATTCTTTTAAGGTTTAGCGAATTTAAGTTGTGCGTGTGGGGTCTACTCCCCCCTTTTCTCGGTGCGGACTTACTTTTTCCACTCGGGAACGCAAGTGTGCGCGAGCTTTTTTTTCTATGGCGCTTTTCTCTCATTGGTGAGTTGGTTTCTCTTCTATTTTTAAGTTTCTAAGGTGAATGGTGAGGAAACCTTCGTCCTAACAAAACATAAGCCCAAACAAAAATATAATAAAAAGCAAAAATAAAATTAAATAAAAATAATGCTCAGACTTGGTTCCTTACAAGGTCATCTACACTTTTTAATCGCTGATGAGCCCATGTGTATTTGTCACTAGATTTAAATTTTTAACTATTTACTATTATGCATCAAGTAAGCAAAATCATTAATAAAAACATTAATTTTAATTTAAAATTCATCAAAACCAGCACCAATCCAAACAATTTTGTTAAAGTTTCATGCTGCAAACTCTTCTGCAACACACTTATTAGATGCCATGAGAATTGCCATTGCTTAATAATCTTTATAAATAACTTTTTCATTAATATTTTCTAATAATGACTTTGCCACTTTGTATTCAAAATATAAATAAAAGTACATTAAAGTACATAGATTATAAGTTAAAACAAGCTTAGACAAGTTGTAAAAATATTCACTATACCTCGTATTTCTCAAATATTCACACTCAAGTGTTGATGTGCTAAAAGTTAGAAATTCAATAAATGTTAAATTTTTTAATTAAAAATTTTGCTGAAATAAGCTTTCATCAATTTTATTTAGAATTTTTGCATAAAATGTTTTTATTCCAAAAATTAAAAAAAATTATCTTTAAACCTAGATTTTTACCAATTCCTTATTATTATTTCCTTTATTTACTAGAAAAATACCTAGTATCTAGGATTATTATCAGGGAATTAAAATAAACATCATACAATATTAAACCAAATATCTGGCAAGCTTGGGACTGGAAATGGTTCAGATTTCTGGACAAGCTAAATATATACTTAAAATATGAAATAAACCATTGAAATTAAAATCAGAATTGTAAAAATGTATTTATCACAGTGTATACCATATACTAGAACTAATATCATGCAACACACATGCCACACAAAACAAAACCAAGCAGATATGTGTCAAACTAGAGCAGTACTTTAGCCCACCAAATTCAAAACTAGCTAGTTTCAAAAATAGCTTTTTTTCTGGTAATTCTGGAAGACAGATATTTGATCTGGTACTGTATTATTATTTTAAAAAATTTTTTTATGAGACAGTAAAATTTAAAAAGTTAAGAAAAGAATTTAATATATAAATCTAGTACGGAATTTTTTCTTATTTTATGAAAAACATGCTGAAATCAATAATATAAAAACATGTATGAAGAAATTTTAACACACATTTCAGTTTTGAAGCAATTTTATTCTTAAAGAACTACACAGACAGCAGTTATGTCAAGAAATCCACTTCAAATACAAATTGAAAGTTACTGACAGAATGAGGAAGGTTAACATTCATAATAAAATACAAGTTTAGTGTATATTAATATAAAGATTTTTAATGGAAGAAGAGTATTTCCAATATGAGGAAATAAGTTCACAATTACAAAATATCATTGTGAAATATTCACTCACACAACATGTAGGGTAAAGATAATCCTGATATGCCCCTTTTTCATTCCCGTCATTTGACAATCAATTTTTGCTGCATTTGTAAATATTCAAATGATTAATTGTAACATTAATACTACATTTTTTTTACTTTACCATCATCTGTACATAGTTATTAAGTATTTATTTTTGGCATTTCTGTACAGTTGTTTTGATATATTTTTTTCAAAGAAAAAAAATTAAAATATAGTTTACTGTTACAAAAATTGCTAAAAATTCCAATTCTGATCATTAAAACCATCTGTTTTAAATCATCATCTACATATTCCAAATCTTTTCTCAATATCCATAAAATATAATTTCAGCAGCAAAAAATGTTGCCCTTAATAATATCTACATAATTTATTACACAGCAATGAAATATATATGGGGAACTATAACTTCAATACATTATTTTTGACTTTCAATTTCTTTTAGCATATTTCTCTTGAGAATTTTAGAAATTATAAAAAAAAATTTAGTTTTTGCAATATACTGCTACTGCTTTTATTAATGATTAGAAATTTAGTATTTAAATAAAGTTCAATTTTTATTTTTAAATCAAGTATTTAAGAGGTAGATTGTAAATTTGATTAGTAAGTAAAAATAATATATTTAAAAAAGTATAGAAATTATAAACTTATATTAATTCTATTTTTAGAATTATATTGAAATACCAAAATTTTGTTTTTATATTTTGCATAATTTAAAATTGAATTACATATTTATGCACAATGATTATGTTCACAATATTAACTAAAAGGCACACACATTAAGCAAAGACAAAATTATACATCCTTTCCAGTAATATATTACTGAACTAAATAGCATTTTAAGCAATTAAGTCAAAAATATCACAATGTAGTGTGTAGGCACAATATTGCAAATAGGCACTCAAATTAACACGTTTTTTTTATATATATCATGAATAACAGTAATGAAAAGCAACTAAAGAAAACATTTTACTTTTAAAATGTCCTGTTAGATTATATGCTGGAAAGATTAATAAATGCCAATTTTATCACGTACATTACAACATTTTTTGGCAATTACATCTCTATGCACAGTTCTGAAAGTTTTCTTTCTGCAAGACTGAGATACAATCTTATCATTCTTTAACATAAAAATAAATTTTTACATCAGTATTAACAAAACATATAAACATATGAACAAAAAACAATAATAAATGACTAGAATCAGTATAAATAATGATACTATAAAAAATTAATATGATTTTTTCTATTTACGTATTATAGAAGTTTCTATTGCTTTTATATTACATTTGTGCTATTTAGTTAATTGATATTCAATAAAGTTCACTTGAAAAGTGACCATTCTACTAAAATGCATATTACCAGTAATTTTGTATCATATATATATATGTTTTTTTAGAAATTTCCAATTTTTATCTTATGCCTTTAAAAGCTTAAAATCATTTTCCATCTGTTCAGTTTAATTCAATGAAAAACATAATAAAACTGTTAATACTATATATAATCAGCATTCAGGAAAACATTCAAAAACCACTATAAAATATAGTTGTATATAAAATATTGTGCAAAATATAGAAGGAAATTTGTTTTAAGCATCACAGTTATAAAAAAGACTAGTTTTTATTTTCTATATATTCATAAAAGGTAATTGTCACTTTAAAAAAACTGTACAAATTTATATAAAAATTAATATATATGAACATAGTACACTTACTATGTGTGTAATAAATTTTCTCCATTCAATTAATGAAGAAAACTTATATACAATATTTGAAAAATGAGTATTAACCTAGATTTTTACCAATTCCTTATTATTATTTCCTTTATTTACTAGAAAAATACCTAGTATCTAGGATTATTATCAGGGAATTAAAATAAACATCATACAATATTAAACCAAATATCTGGCAAGCTTGGGACTGGAAATGGTTCAGATTTCTGGACAAGCTAAATATATACTTAAAATATGAAATAAACCATTGAAATTAAAATCAGAATTGTAAAAATGTATTTATCACAGTGTATACCATATACTAGAACTAATATCATGCAACACACATGCCACACAAAACAAAACCAAGCAGATATGTGTCAAACTAGAGCAGTACTTTAGCCCACCAAATTCAAAACTAGCTAGTTTCAAAAATAGCTTTTTTTCTGGTAATTCTGGAAGACAGATATTTGATCTGGTACTGTATTATTATTTTAAAAAATTTTTTTATGAGACAGTAAAATTTAAAAAGTTAAGAAAAGAATTTAATATATAAATCTAGTACGGAANTACATTTTGTTTATGCATTTTACCACATAAGCTAACTATGATAAGATGAAATAAAATGATACAATTTGTAAAAATGACTAATGTTCTTAACTATTCTACATTTCAGCTTGAGTATCTTCTACAGAAAGCTGCAATTTAAACCACTGCAGGATCTGTAAATACAAAAAAAATATATATATATAAATTTTTTAAATTTACTTATTAGATTTATTTATAAATTTCCTGGTTGAAATTCAAAAATTTTCTGCAAGATTATGACTTTTAATATTATTAATTAAAGAAAAATTATATTTAATTTTATTTATATGAAATTAATCATCTCCAAAACAAAGTATATAATATTGACTGTCAAACAATAGGAAAGTTTTAGGAAAACTGAAAATATGAAAACACTTCTTTATTCTCCACTAGATATTTAAAGTTTAATAGAAATGTTTATATCATGTACTGCATATGCATTGACTTAATAAAGCATATAATGTCTTATATACTGCATACTTCATAATAATGTCCACAGTTTAAAAAAAAATGACTTTTTTACTAAACTACATAACAGAAAAACTTTTACACTAAAATTAATTCCAACTCAAACCAGTTCTGGTAAACACTAAAGAATTTCAAATAACACCAACATATTCAATTCAATAATGTATTTTCATACTTGAACATTATTTACAATATCACTTTCCAATAACTGTATAAAGTTTAAAAAAATTTCCAGGAGTAAGTATGCTATTATGAGCTAAGTTACTAACTTAGCAATTGTAAAAAAAACTGAGAAAAAAGATATAGTGCAAAACCAGATTCAACTGAATATAGAACATTTTGAAAATGTGGAGTAAATCACAGCTGACATTACTGCAAGTCCACGGTAGTCTTGGTAATTTAAACAATTCTGATAATGAATCTGGTTAATCAAAGATATAGAAATATCTTTGATTAACAAGATTCATCAAGAATTACACCTTTTCCAATATAAAATAGTCTTTACAAAAACAGAGTGACAATGACAAGAATTACATTCTTGAGTTTTATCAGAAAATTTCAGATATGGCTGGTCATAATGCAATTGACCTTGAATATGTCTTTAATCTTGGAACTTCCTAAAAAGCAAATACACAAGGAAGGGGGAATATGCAGGCCAATTCCTTCTTAGAATATAAAGTGAACTGTGGGAATAGTGTGCTTTTGTTTTCAGTCAGTATGCTTTATATAGCCTTTTTCCAATCCAGGCAAAGGCTTCTATACCATTCAAGGAATCACGACCAAATTTTGCATGAATATTCACATTTAACACTTGAAAAAATACTGTGGATGTCCCAACCACTCCTAACGTAAGCCTAAGTAACTTTCTTGTATTTGCAGTTTCATTATTGTAAATACTCAGTTCAATAAATTTACCTTTTAGTTACTAATGTGACCGTAGGGTCGGCACCTCTTTGGCGCCCTGTCAGGAGACCTGAATCTGACACCACCGAGTCTCTGGGGGACTCGGAAATCGCGACGTTACGTCTAAAGATTCGCGAGCGGTAGCGTGTGAGCGCTTGGATTCGGAGTAGAGGTGAGGAGAGAGACGAGGAAGTGACTCACTCGGACTCCATATGTTCTAACAAAAATTCCATTTTAATAATAAACAAAGAAAATACAGAGATATCGGGCATATTAGCGGACTTAATTATACTATTCCGTTCGAGAGAGAGAGTTTACAACCGAATCGCGGGTTGATAAATACCTTTCTTTTTCCTAGGTCGCAGATCTGTAGTATGATGACACTCTTGACTCCTCTGAAATGGTCTTTCCACTAGTTCTTGTCCGTTAATTGGATCTCGGAGGTGTGGAAGCACGGAAGTGGGGTGAGATTCTTAAGGAGACACGGTGTTACTTCTGTCACGGTGTTATTTCGGGATTTTGGTGCACGGGTTTTATCCTGGGTCACGGTTTTAATCCTGGGGCACGGTTTGAATCCTGGATCACGGTTTTAATCCTCGGATGACGACTTCTGTAGAGGGACTTCGGATGACGACTTTTGTAGAGGGACTTCGGATGACGACTGACTTCGGGGTCGTTTTTCTTTTTCCCTTTTTCATTCCTCTTGGGTTTTTTCCATGAGGTCAGGTGATGGCCTTTAACGGTCGCACGTCCAATATGTCTTCTCCATCAAAAGTTCCTGGTGACACATCCCTGACTAACTTGATCCGACTCAACAAGGAACAAACTCCGTGGGAAATAATTTTTATGGCTTTTAGCCTAACTCGATAAAACGTTCGAATTTAACCGATTAAAGTTTCCAATAATTAAAATTTAAAATAACACTTTATTGTGGGTCTGTTCGTCCCTCACATCACCCCGGCCTTTCCAAAATCGGGCTTGTTCTGAGTGAGCAAGATCGATTTTAAGGAGCTGAAGTTTCAATGGAAGGTAGAGGATGTAGGGTGTTTCCTGGAGGTTCTTGTGATTTTCGATGAAATTTGATTTGACAATGATAAAGACCCGTTTTGTGAACACATAATATTTAAAAGTCTCTCTCTCTCTCTGAGTGCATAATACTAACATGAATTATTTCCGACATTGATATGATTATTTTTATGATATGGTTATCATTCTAATTAATTATTTCCGACAATATGATTTTTTTTCGCGTTATACAGAGGTTTAATGGATTTATAATCTACTCTCTCTCTCTCTTGTAAATTTTGTCTGTTGTCCTAATTAACTCTGTCTTGTTACTTTTGATTGACCGCTATTTCCTTCCTTTGGCGGGCTAGCCTTTCGTTTGGGAATTCGACTTCGTCTAGGGGTCGGGAGAATCCAGGGACGTTCTTCCACTGGTCCCCGGCTGCGTAATGCATAAGAATGAGAGGAAGTAGGTTCTCTTGGTTCTTCTCTAGGGGTAGATTCTATTATTCTTTCTTCACTTTCGGAATCGTCTTCCTCTGATTCTAAATCCGTTTCTGGTTGTGGTTGAATTTCGGTGAGGATAAATTCGTCCCATGGGTCTGCACTTAGGGAAGGTTGGCGGGATAATACCTTAGGTTGTGTAGATGTTGGTGTAGGAGATCGGTCTAAACTTTCTGACCTTTCGAATTCTTGTCTAGCGGTGCAATGTTTCAATCTATTAGCATGAACTTGGAGTTGTTTCTTCGTTTGAATATTTTCAATAAGGAACGTGACAGGACTTAATTTGGATATGATACGAAATGGGCCGGACCATCGGGGTGCTAATTTCCTTTTTAACCCTTGAGGTAGGACAACTTCATTAAGGAAGACTCGATCGCCTACCTGATATGTAGGAATTTTATGAGTTCGGCGATGTATTTTTTGACGTTCTCTGGCTGCTGCTTCAGCATATTCTTGTGCTAATTGATGGGCACTGGCCATTCGAAGGTGGAGTTCCGATGCGAAGTTATCTTCTACATCGTATTTAGTTCTGGTCGGACGGGTGATAAGGTCAAAGGGGTAAATTGGATCTCGTCCATACAACAGAAAGAATGGACTGTCATTCGTAGAAGCGTGGACGGTAGTGTTATATGCAAATAAGGCGTAGGGAATCCATTCATCCCAGTCCTTTTGGTCTTTGGCTACATAGTGTGAGATAATATCAACAAGGGTCTTATTGAATCTTTCAACTATCCCATTGCATGCAGGGTGATAAGCGGTTGTAAGAAGTCGCTTAATATGAAGCAATTCGCATACTTCCTTGAACATCTTGGAGATTAAATTTGGGGCTCGATCTGTAAGAAGTTGTACAGGAGTTGAATGGCGTAAAACAATGTTGGTAACGAAGGCCTTGGCGATAGTTTTGCTATGAATATCGGGTAAAGGTATTGCTTCTGCATATCGGCTGAAATGGTCCACAAAAACTAGGATGTATTTATTTCCGTTGGTTGTAATAGGCAAAGGACCGATAATGTCCATAGCTGTCCGTTCAAATAAATGTGTGAGGGGAGAGAATAACTGTAGTTCAGCTTCTGTTCGTTTGTCCTTTCGCTTGTGTATAGCACATCGTTGACATTCTTGGCAATGAGTTTTTATGTCTTTGTTCATGGTCTGCCAATAAAATAAAGTCTGGAGTTTTTGTTGCATTCTTCGTGCTCCCAAATGTCCTCCGACAGGAGTATCATGATAAGTATGTAGTATATATGGAATCAATACGGATGGAATGACTAATTGTTCTAGGAAGTCTCCTTGATTGCTAGGTTGTAAATGATAAAGAGCTCCTTCCTCATCTAAGAAGAATTGGTTCTTAAGATTTGGATCTTGTGCGGTTTCATCTTCTAGTTGCTGAATTATAGGATTCCATTTTGGATCTCGTCTCTGTAAATCTCTGATTTGGGCTTTGGAGTATATTGGGTCAAGGTCGTCTTCAGTCTCTACGATTTGTCTGATAGGAATGCGACTTAAAGCATCGGCGTTTCTATGACATTCTCCCGCTTTATGCCTTACTTCGAACTCAAATTCTTGCAAAAATATAATCCAACGAGCTATTCGTGAGTTTGTGCTAGAGTCTTTATTGCTCATAAGCCATTTCAATGGTCTGTGGTCAGTGAGAATAATGAATTTCCTGCCGTATAAATAAGGTTTGAAATATTTGGTAGCCCAAACAACCGCTAGACATTCCTTCTCAGTAGTACTATAATTTTTCTCGGATTTCCGCAATATGCGACTGGCATAAGCGATTGGCATTTCTCCTCGTTCATCTTCTTGTGATAATACTGCTCCTATAGCCTCGTTAGAAGCATCTGTAGCCAGTATAAAAGGTTTGGTAAAATCAGGAGATTTTAACAGTGGGGCGGATGTAATGATTTCTTTTAATCTCTCGAAACTCCGCTCTTGCTCTTCTCCCCATTGGAATTGAGCGTCATTCTTTAAGAGATCGGTCAGTGGCTTTGCGATATCTGCATAAGATTTTATGTGGCGCCGGTAATATCCAGTTAAACCTAGGAACGACTTTATATCATGTTTGTTAGTAGGTTTAGGAAAAGTCAATACGCAATTGATTTTGTCGGGATCCGGTCTTATCCCTTCATCAGAAACGTTGTGGCCCAAGAATTTAATTTGTCGCTGCAAGAAATGACATTTCTTTGGTTTTAGTTTTAAGCCAGCGGCAGCAAGGCGTTGGAAAATTTGTTCTAATCGGGAAAGATGAGTTTGG